ATCCTATAGACACTTGCTTACACTTTAGGGTTTTTAACAATTTTCTAGAAAACTGAAGAGTTGACTTCTGGTTCCAAGATAAGCACACATTTCATTTTATTAGGTGATACAAAATTAGTTTCCAATGGTAACACCAACTCTTGGAACTGAGAGACTTTACGAAGTAGTACAATAATATCCCTGTTTTAATTAGTACTTCCTCTAAATAGTAATGAGCTTCTTGGGCCTCTTTCCTGTTTACTTCTCCACCTCTCAATCATCGCCCCATCCTTCTTTGTAGAGGCTAGCTCTAAACTTGTGATCCTCCTGCACAGCCTCAGCAGCCACTGGGATTAAAGGCGAGGGCCACCATGACCAGCCAGTTTTCCGTTTTTTTTTTAAAGTTTTTTTTTCTAGTTGATTTGTTCTTTACACATTCTTGATAAAAGGCCTTTCTCAGTTATATGCTTGAAATAACTTCACCTAGTTCCAGGCTTCTTGTGTCAATTTCTCAAACAATGTAGCAGAACTGATTGGTCCCTTTCTTCATGCTCAGTACTATGTCTTAATCTTTCTCTTTTCCAAATCATGGAAAATATGCTCTTATTTCATACTTTGTAAGTGTTACCTTTTACACAAAGGACTTTATTTATCCTGGAATTGATTTTTGTTCAGTTTGAAGAAGGCCTAATATAATTTTTTTCATATGTAAATCTGATTACCTGGGTACAATTAACTGAAGCTCAGTCCTACCCTTAGTGGTCTGCAGTGGTATTGTATCATTCGTGAGTATTTATATATGTAGAGGATGGATGGTTCCAGGCATTTTATTCTTCCCATTGTCTATTTTCAACCCAATTTCAATGTCAAAGTGTTTTAATTATTTGCATTTTATGTCTTGATATCTGATAAGAAAACTGTGGATACAGACAAGAAAAATAAATAACGCAAAGAACTTAAACCACCAGAACAACCAAAGTTTATAAAACATTTGATCACCAGCACCAAAAGATACAGAAAATAAAAATTAAAGGTTAAAGAAGCTATGTGTTACAAGCTTTTAAAAGTGACAAAACTAAATATATCTGAACTGGAACCATAAATTATGAACAGAAAATGACTAAAGGTGACAGCTGGGATTAAATTAATGGGGGAAAAAAACCACACACACATTAAAATTTGTGGGGTACACAGAAGAGAAACAGGGAAGACGTGGATGTGAAACAGATAACACGTCCGATCTCTTCATAACATGGAAAAGAGGCAGTGAATAAAAGCAGAATTGAGAACGGGGAGACAAAATAAATGCTCTAAGACTTAACACTACATAGTCTGACACCTGGAGAGACTAGAAGATAGGTTACCAGAGGAGAAAATAAAACTTAAAAGTGCTCTAACTCAAACTTGGGGACAGGGGACATCAGATAGAAGGGAAAGGGGACATTTTCTCAAGCTCATATAGTAGCATCCCCTCCTCCACAAAAAATCTTAATTAAGCCTTTTCAGAAATCCACACAATTATCTTAGGACCATCAGCAAAAGAATCTCTACAAAAGAGTTTAAGGAAGTTAAGCTTCCTATTTCCCTTTGCTCTATCTTACTTGGCCACCTGCCTAGAAGAGATCAGCACTCCAGGTGCTGAACACTCTTTTACTAGTTTTTCACATTTATAGACTACTGGTGTTGTAACAATATAGAATAGTTTGTAGAAGTTTTCAAGTGGGAAGTGTGTTTGCCAATGCAAAGTGTGAGAAGAAAGAGAGATTAATCTTTAAGGAAGCCTCTGACCTTGGGCTGGAGCTTCACAGAAATGTTTACATTTCAAAGAGAAGATGTTACTAATTAGGCTCCATGATAACTGGCAGGGGGAGGGGGACGACTCTCCCCTTCTCAGAGCTGTCCTTGAAGAGTTAACTTGCCCAGAACAGTAAAAGAAAAAGCTTGTTTTTGTGTGAACTTTGCAGACTGTGAACTTCTGAGTCCCTCCCCCTACACACTGGATATAAAGTTCTGAAACTGCCTGAACTCTGGGTTCAGGGGCATTGATTGATACAGTGAAAATTTTCCCCTCTGAATACGGCTGCAGCCAAATAAATCTGCTTCTTGCTAATTCTTTGGTGTCTGACCTCATCTGGTCCTCCAACACCCATTTAAAAACTATTGGAAAACTGTTGAAAAGACAGACAAAATTTAAATTACAAGAAGGTGACTTAAAACAGCATGAACCACAAAAACAAAGGGGAGGGGAAGCAACAATCTTGTGGAACCCACAGGTAACCAGTCACCCTCTTAAATTGGCAGGGGCTCTTCCCACACCCAGAGCTGCAAATTAAACCCAAGGGAAGCCCCCTGCAGTGGGCCCTCTTAAGAATATGGCTAGAAAGACCTCCCTGTCTCTCTCACTGTGAACATAGGGACAGAGTGGGCTGATGGGGACCTTGGCCTGGAAAGAGCACATCTAGCTCTGCTTAGCCTCTGCCACCCAGGCAAGGGTGAAAAGCTCTGCACAGGCTTGCTTGACTCAAACAGGTTACAATAGAAGCAACTTTGGCCCCAAAGGAAAGCTGATTCACCAGGCCAGGCACTGGCACTGGGCGAAGACACTGCAGGAAGCCTAGAGACAGTACTCAGGACTGCAGCACCATACCAGGAGGCAAACTGCCTGAATATCCAGTGACATACAGACAACAGGAAATTGCTAGAAGCTTCTCAGCAGAAAGGGCTGGACGCCAGCCTTAGTAAGTGTACAGCCTAAACAGTGCAACTGGCAAGTGACATGGCATTATTTGGATTTTTGTAGGACAATGCACCAGACTTATTAAGCAAAGGGAATTAACACCCACCATTCACAACCTGGGACAGTGGAAACTATAGAATCCAGTTGAATCATCAGAGACCCTGCACTACAGCACCTTAGAGTGGAGGCAGCCAGGGAAATACTACTGAACTACAGAACACCTGTGGAAAACCAACAACCAGTGTTCCCGCACACACAGACAGCTGCCAGGATCTTCCCTACCATGAAAAGAATCTAGCAGAGGGGAACAGGTACACCAGTGACAAGGGGCATCTTGAATCTTGAATTCTGTAATAGGCTACAATAGAATCAGCTAACTCATAACATTGCATCCTCCAAGATTATAAACAACTCTAACGTCAACTTAGATCATATAAATAACTCCTTAACTTGAATGGTAATTGTAACTCAATAGCCAACGTTGTACCTCCAATCCACCTGAAAGTATTTCATCTAGTGGTTTAAAGCATTAACTGGAAACAATCTCCCTATTTTTGTTTTCCTAGCTCTAGTTTATACCTGCTTTTTTTAACCCCTACTCATCCTCTTACACTATCCACTAGGGCCTCAAATACCACCCATTCATCTATTTCTTCTCTCTCCTTTCTCTTTCACGCACGCTCTCTTTCTTTCCTTCTTTTTCCCTTCCCCATTTGCCAAAACATTTTTCCTCCCCACCTTTAATACTCACTTAAGGTTTAGTAAGTTTACTAAATTTAACTACTAGATTGTTTGTCTTGTCCCAGAACTCTTATTGTAGGCTTATACCTGAATTTGAGGACCCAAAGAAAACAACCGAAACAAGTTTTTGTTCTTACAATATTGAATAGTACAAGGTCTGGCTCAGAAGTGATTATAGTAAATAGGGCTCCAATGGTATTTCTTATAGTGGAGCTGATACTGGGATGAGAAGAGGTCACAAATTGAATTAAAATACCATTATCTAGATCCACCCACCCCAAGGCTCTTAAGAAAAAGAAATTCACTTAGTAGTCTATCACTTAAAAAGTCAGAACTATACTGGTAGGTGGGCAGACATACAAACAATATGAAAAAGCAAAGGAACAAACCATCCCAAACAACAAAGAATACCTCAACAACAGATTCCACTGACACCACAGTGAAGGGAGTATCAGAAAAGGAATTTAGAAAACTCATAAATTGTTCTATGAGCTAAAAGATGATATAAGTGAAACCAGAAAGAAAATATAGGAAGTGCAAGATCACTTCAGTAAAGAGAGATTCTAAAAAAGAATCAAAACAAAATCCTTGAAATGAAGGAATCAATATATCAAATTAAAAATTCAATGGCAAGCATCACTAATAGATTAGACCACTTTGAAGACAGACTTTTCTGGCCTTGAAGACACAGTATATAATCTTGAAAATATAGTTGAACATAGAGAAAAGATGTTAAGAGACCATAAACAGAATATTCAAGAAATCTGGGATAATATTAAAAGGCCAAATTTAAGATTCATTGGGATAGATAAAGGCTCTGAAAACACATTCTAAAGGAAAGCATAATCTTTTCAATGAAATAATATTATAAAATTTCCCAAACCTTAATAATGAAATGGAAATTTAAATATAGGACTTCAATTACGCAAAAATCAGATCCACTCCAAGACATTGTTATGCAAACGCCTAACTCATAAGGTAAGAATTTTAAGATCTGAAACTGGGCATATTTTACAAGTAAACCAATCTGGATTTCAACTGCTTTCTCAATCCAGACACTAATAGTGAAGTGGGCTTGGAATAATATATACCAAACTCTGGAAGACAGTGGATGCCAACCAAGAATACTAAGAAAATTAAGCTTAAAAGATGAAGGTGAAATAAGAACCTTCCATGATAAACAAAAGCTAAAAGATTTCATAACTAGAAAGCCTACACTATAAAACACTCAATAATATTTCATGAATAAAAAATGAAAAATAAAAATGAAAACATGCATAAAGGCATTATACTAGAATAGTAGCCAAAGGAGAATCAAATCCAATTTAAATACTAGAAATAAATCAAACTGGCAGGAATTAAAAATCATCTCTCAATAATAACACTGAATGTAAATGGTCTAAACTTTCAATCAAAAGGCATAGGCTGAAAGACTGGATTTAAAAATAAGCCCCCAAAATATGCTCTCTGCAAGACACTCATCTCATAGGCAAAGACATATACAGATTGAAGGTGAAAGGATGGGAAAAAACATACCACTCACCTGGATCTCGAAAACAAGTAGAGGTTACCATTCTCATATCAGATAAAGTAGACTTCAAGCTAAAATTAATCAGAAGAGAAAAGATCATTTCATGCTGATTAAGGGAACCATACAACAACAAGATATAAATGTCATAAATACTTATGCCCCAAACAATGGAGTATCTACATACATCAAACCATTCTCAAAATTAAGAATCAAACAGACTACAGTACAATAATAGTGGGTGACTTTAACACCCCTCTCTCATCACTGAATAGATGATCTAAACAAAAACAAAGTAAAGATTCTTTAGAACTAAAAAATAAAATAAATAATTCTGACCTAATAGACATCAACAGACATTTAGAGTATTTCATCCATCACAACAACTGAATTCACTTTCTTCTCAGCAGCACATGCAGCATTTTCCAAAATAGACTATATTTTAGACACAAAGCAAATCTAAGCAAATACAAAGAGAAAAGAGAGAGAGAGAGAGAGAGAGAGAGAGAATACCTTGCATTCTATCAGATCATAATGGAATGAAATTAGAAATCAACAATAAGATAAAAAATAGAAACCACTTTAACACCTGGAGTTAAAGAGTATATTTTTGAATGATGAATGGAGAGCAGAAAAAATCAGGGAAGAAATTTTAAAAAATACTGAGGTAAATGAGAACTATAATAATACAATGTATCAAAATCTGTGGGACATTATGAAAACAGTTCTAAGAGGAAAGTTCACAGCACTGAACTCATACATTAAAAGAATGGAAAGATACCAAATAAATAAACTAACATTACATTTCAAGGGCTTAGAAAAAGAACAAACCAACACCAAAATCAGGAAGAAGAGAGGAACTTATTAAAATAAGAGCCAAAATCAACGAAACTGAGATTTAAAAAAGCAACACAAAAGATTAATGAAACGGAGTTGTTTTTTTTGAAAGGATAAACAAAATTGATAAGCCCTTAGCCAAACTAACTATAAGAGAGAAAAACTCAAATTATCAAAATCCGAGATGAAAAAGGAAATATCATCGAACACACTACTGAAATCAAAAGGGCAACATGAAATTATTTTGAAAATCTATATTCCAATGAGCTAGAAAAGCTTAATGATATAGACAAATTCTCCTAAACATAGAACCTACCCAAGTAGAACCAGGAGGACATAGAAAATTTAAACAGATCAATTTCTATTAATGAAATTGAAGCAGCTATCAAAAACCTTCCAACAACAAAAAGCCCACGACTAAATGGTTTCTTAGCTGAGTTCTACCGGATCTTCAAGGAACTAATATTAATTTTCTTCAAGTTATTCCATGAAATAGAAAATGAGGGAACTCTGTCAAACACATTATACAAAGGCAGTATCACCCTGATACCAAAATCAGACAAAGACACATCGAGGAGAAAAAACTTCAGATCAATATTCTTGATGAGTGTAGATGCAAAAATTCTTCATAAAATACTGGCAAACTGCATACAAAAACACATTTTTTAAAAAAGTGCACCACGATCAATTGGGATTCATCCCAGGAATGCAAGGTTGGTTCAACATAAGGAGATCAATAAATGTAATCACCACATGACTAGACTTCAAGATAAGAATCACATAAACATTTGATGAAGTAGAATACCCATTCATGTTTAAAACACTAGAAAAACTAGGGATAGAAGGAACTTACTTCAACATTGTAAAGGTCATATGTGGAAAGTGAAGGCCAACATTATTCTGAATTGAGAAAAACAAAGTACTTCCTCTAAAAACAGGAACAGGACAAGGATGCCCACTTTCACCGCTCCTATTCAATACAGTTCTTAAAACTCTGCCAGAGCATTTAGACAAGAGAAGGAAATTAATTAAAGGGATACAAATAAGAAGAACTCAAATTACATGTATTTGCTGATGGCATGACCCTATAATTAGAAGACCCAAAAAAACTCCATTAGAAGACTTCTAGAGCTCATAAATGAATTCAACAAAGTAGCAGGATACAAAATCAATACCCATAAATCAATCATGTTCCTATACTCCAATGATTAATCAGCTGAAAGAAAAATTAAGAAAACAATCCCATTCACAATGGCCATAACAACAACAACGAAAAAAACCACACTTGGGAATCAATCTAATAAAGCGGCAAAGGACCTCTACAATGAAAAATAAGAACACTAAAAAAGAAACAGAAGAAGACCTCAGAAGATATAATGACCTCCCATGTTCTTGGATAAACAGGATTAATATTATCAAAATATTAACATAAAAATGGCCATACTACCAAAAGTGCTATATAGATCCAATGCAATTCCCATCAAAATTCCAATGGTGTTCTTCACAGAAATATAAAAAGCAGTCATTGAATTCATTTAGAAAAATAAGAAACAGAATAGTCAAAGAAATTGCTGGAGTGCAAAGCAAAGCAGGAGGAATCACGAAACCAGACTTAAATTATACTACAGAGATATAGTAACAAAAACAGCCTGGTACTAGCAATAAAATGGGCAGGAAGACCAAGGAAACAGAAGACACAGAGATATAAGCCCACATAAATACAGTTATCTCATACTAAACAAAGGTTCCAAAAACACATGTTATAAAAAAGATAGCCTCTTTAACAAATCATGCTGGGAAAACTGGAAATCCCTATGTAGTATAATAAAATTGCACAAAACTCAACTCAAAGTGGATCAAAAACCTAGGCATTAGACCAGAAACCCTTCACCTGCTAGAAGAAAATGCAGGCCCAACACTCAAACATGTTGGCTCAGCAACTGACTTCCTTAATAAGACTCCTAAAGCACAAGAAGTAAAACTAAAAATCAATAAATGAAATGCCATAAAATTAAAAAGCTCCCTCACAGCAAAGGAAACAATTGAAAGCGTGAAGAGAAAGGTTTACAGAATGGGAGAAACTCTTTGCTACCTGCTCTGCAAATAGGGCATTAATATCCAGGACATACAAAGAGCTCAAAAATGTAACACATAACACCCCCCCCCCAAAAAAAACCCAATTAATAAATGAGCAGAGGAACTAAAAAACACTTCACACAATAAATAGCATTGGTCAGCAAATGTATGAAAAAATGTTCAACATCTCTGGCAATTAAAAAAGTTCATATTAAAATTACACTCAGAGAGTTCATCTCACTCCAGTCAAGAATGGCAACAATCAAGAATACCAATAACAATACACGTTGGTGAGGATGTGGGGGAAAATTTACATTCATACATTGCTAATGGGCTGCAACTGGTACAGCCACTCTAGAAAGCAGTATGGAGAGTCCTCAAAATAGCTGGAATGGAACACCATTTGATCCAGTTATCCAATTCCTCCGTTATATCCAAAGGAGTTAACATTAGCATACAACAGTGACCCAGCCACAGAAATGTTTATAGCAGCTCAGTTCACAAAAGCAAAGCTATGCAACCAACCTCAGTGCCCTTCAACAGATGAATGGATAAAGAAAATATGGTATATATACACAATGGAATATTACTCAGCCGAAAAAAGAATGACTTTATGACATTTACCAGAAAAAGAATGAATCTGGACATTATTATACTAAGTGAAATATGCCAATCCCCCAAAACCAAAAGTTGAATGTTCTGATAGGTGCATGTTAACATACAACAAGGGTGGGGTATGAGGAGAAGTTCAGTAAATTAGACAAAAGGGAATGGAAGGAAGGGAGTGAGGATAAGAAAGACAGTAGAATGATTCTCACATAATTCTCTTATGTACATTTATGAATACACCACAGTGAATCTCCACATCCTCTAAAAATCACAAGACTAAGACCCTAATTAGAATAAGATGTACCCCATGCTTGTATAAATAAGTCACATTATATTCTACTATTATATATAACTAAGAATTTTTTAAAAAGTTGGGAAAAAATTTAAAAATACAATGTTATATGATATGTGAAAATCATATATGAAATTCAAATTTCAGTGTCCATAAATAGTTGGGTAGGCCCTCAAAAAAAGAAAAAGAAAGGTTTGCAGGTGGATGGTTTGGATGAATTTAGTAACCCTGGAAGGAAGAATGCAATTGAAAATGTTTAAAAAAAATTAACAACAACAACAAAAAGACCCAATCAATAAATTGGCACTAAACAAACACTTCTCAAAAGAAGAAATATTATCAAGAGATATATGAAAAACTGTTCAACATCCCTAGGAATAAGAAAAATTCAAATTAAAACTACACTGAGATTTCATCTCTCTCAAGTCTGAAAGACAAGTATCAAGAACATAAGTAACACTGAATGCTGGTGAGGATGGAGGAAAAGGGTACACTCATAAAACATTTTTGGTGGGACGGTAAATTAGTGTAACCATTCTGGAAAGTAGTATGGAGAGTCCTAAAAAAATGTGGAATGGAATCAACATATTATCCAGGTACCCCACTCCTCAATATAAATCCAAAGGATTTAAAATCAACATACTACAGTGATGCAGTCACATCAATGTTTATAGCAGCACAATTCACAATAGGTAGGCTATGAAGCCAACCTAGGTTTCCCCAACAGATAAATGGGTTAAAAAAAAAGGGGGGGGTATAATATACACAATGGAATATTACTCAGCCATAAAAGAATGACTTTATGACATTTGCTAGAAAAAGCATGAATCTGAAGACTATTATATTATTATATTGTATATACACACAATGGAGAATGACTTTATGGAATTTGCTAGAAAATGGATGTTAAGGAAACTATCATGCTAAGTGAAATAAGCCAATTCCCAAAAGTCAAAGGTCAAATGTCTTTTCTGCTATGTGGACAATAATTCAAAATAAAGGGGGGGGGCAAAAAAAGGAAAAGAAAATCAGGGGAGTAGACAAAGGGGAATGAAATGAAGTGAGGAGTGCTGGGATAGGCAAAGACACTGGACTGAATTCTATGTACATATATGAATATACCACAGTGAATCTCACCATCATGTACATCTATTGGGGGCGGGCAGGGTGGTAAAAGTTATTAATAGGTTAAATGTCAATGTGAAGAAGTTAGAAAAAGAGTAATAAATAAACCTAAGAAGTATAATAAAAGAAATGATG